CCCAAAATGGCTCGGGATGCGTGGCCTTCCAACAGGGACCAGCAGCTGACACCCCTAGGAGAAGGCTGGGGAAACAGTCCTATCGTCGTTAACACCTCAAAGCATTTTTCTGTGGCTCTTCAGCGGCTTTAGGTCTCCACAGACCAGTTAGTCAGACCACTAGGTCCTGGGCCGGCCACACCCATCCACCATCCCGGGCACCCTGGTGGGGTACAAACCTTCCCCTCCGAACTTCCCTCCCAGGCAAGGTCAGTCAGAGTCACCCCATTAGCTTTGTGCCCCGAGGCACCTGTGTGCTCCAGCAAGAACCATCAACTCAGATTGGTGAGAGCCGGCTGGGGCGACTGCTCCTGAAATTCTGTCCCCCCCTTCCCTGAAAGCCCCGGATGAGCCCCCGTGTCTTGAGTGTGGATTCCAGGAGAGAGGGGTAGCTGCGGAGCGGGGTGCTAGCGGCCAGCAAGCAGCTGCCCCAGAAAGGGCCATGTGTGCACAGAGGTGTGGGGTGAGGACCCTGCTGGCTGATGACCTCCCACGGAGGCGCAGGGCACACGGTGAGGCGGAAGGAACGTGCGAAGGCTTCCCTGATGTCTTCGTGTTGTTCATTCTCTCTTGGACTCTCCTTCTCCCCTTCCCTCCTTGGGACATCCCCCTCCTCAGCCCTTTCTTCTTTCTACCGCTCCAGCTCACCTCTGCCCTCTTCCTTGGACCCGCACTGCACTTTGCCCCCACTTCCGGTCCCCTCCCCCATCTGCTCTTGCTCCCCACCTTCCATAGGCCTCTAGGTCCCTGCCCATCTTCTCCTTCCCACCCCCTCTCTCCCCACCTGTGTCTGTCCATGTCTGTCTCTCCCTCTTTCTCCCCCATCCCCCGCCTCTCTCTCTCTCTCTCTTTCTCTCTCGGTCTTGGTCTCCCTTTAATTCTCTTCCCTTTCCTCTTACTTAGTATCAGATACGGGGTTGCACTCAGTGTCATGCCCGTGTAATGGTGTTACAGGAGGCGGGGAAGTGGGGATGTGCCACGGGGCTGGAGGGTGTTCATTTGCTGCCTGACTGCCCTTTCCCAGGGAAGCTTCCTGCGGCTGCTCGTCCCAAGGTTTGCAGTGTGTGCTTTATTTTTGACTCCTTACTTTTAAATGAGTTTCAGGAATCCCATGTGCTCAGTAGAAATGTAATACGGAGAGCCTCAGACTGGAGTTACCCTGTGCTGAGGGCCTTTGGCTTTGGAAAGGGCTGGTGTCCCTGGGAACGATCGTCCGGGCTAACTGAATGGGGCAGGAAGGGAAGGAGAAAGCAAGGGTCCATACAAGCAGTTTCAAAATAAGAACATCAGCACCAAAAAGACCGAGCTTTGTTCTTCATCCTGGAAATAACCTCAGGTCAGTTTTGGGAACAGGGAGGTTTAAATCAAAAAGTGATAAAATATCCACGGACTATGTGCTCTGTACTGTTCAGCGAGAGTTGAGGCAGGGAGCGAGTCGAGAGCGGGGTGGGCGGGTGAGTGTGGTTTTGCCTGCCTGCAGCTGGCTTATCCCCTGAGTGGTCATTCTCACTGACTCTGCATTTCAGTTTTCCTCTTATTATAAGTGCAAGACTTCTGGTCACAAGTCATGCACATGCATGGTGGTTCATCCTGATTCTGGAAGGCGGACATTATTACAGGTCTGGAGTTTCTCTCCTTGGGACAGACGGGATATGGAGTAAAGAATGTGGTGTCTGAGCATCCAGATTTTGTTTCATTTCTAAGGCTGGGAGAAATAGTATTTCGTCTTTTGACCTCCCCATTTAGATTCCCCCCAACTCCGCAACTGCTCTGTAGAGACTATTAGTTGCTTCTGTATTTCTCTAGCATTCTTTAGGGGAGTGAATCAAGATATTTCTGTTGTCCCCTACTCATAACCAAGTGTTTGGTGTATGGAATAACACCCAGATCATCTAGACTAAGTCACATAGGACTGCTTCAACGCCACTTTATTAGGATTGGTGCATTTCACGATAAATTCTCCAAGGATGGGGCTCAAGACTCCTCTAGGCTGTCTGGGCTTGTCCTCTTTCCTTCAAAGTCCATTTTTATTTTTGTCAAATAGGAGAAATAGAAAATTGAAAGAAGCGAAAATGACTCCGAAGCTTGGCAATCCAAGTAGAATCATAAATATTCAAGGAAATAAAACACTGAAAGTTTGGCAGTCCCTTGTATATTGCTTGTGTCACTGGCATTTCATATCCCTCCTTGGAGCACGTGATTGGAGCAGTCACTTACACTTAGGCTATATGACGTAAACAATTTCATTTCTAAATCAAGCAACACCATATTATCTGGCATAGGTAAAATCGTTCCGTGATGAAACCCTGAAATGTGTAAGTTACATCTGGATACACTCATAAAGGACATAAACTTTGCCCCCGGGCTGCAGTTTTGTGAGTCTCTGTTGGACGTCGTAAGGATAGGGTAGAGCATTCTTTAATTTAGGGGTATAAGGGTGTCTTCAAATTTTATTTGGTGGGCTGCTACTGTGGCCTTTTAAAGGCCTGGTTGTGATTGGTAAAGAAAATCTTAGTTTTCAAATGTTTAACACGTTAATGACTGCTGACCATGAATGTTCTCTCTGGATGTCCTTACTGTCGCTGTCTTTCTTCGCTTCTTATCATGTAAGTATAGGGATGCTCACGCTCTAAATAGAGAGAGATGTGAATATGTAGTCAAACAAGCGACTGTTGATAATTGGTTCGATTAGTCTAATTCTTTATTGGTCACAGAGAGGGTTTGGGAAATTCACTATGAGGTCACATTAATACCACATTCTTCCTTTGTGTGTGCTAATATCTTATCCCCCCAAAAAAGTACACAGTATAACAGATTTCTCTAGAAATTGACTGTGTGATGTAGTTACAATCTGTTAAAGATGCTACCTTAAAGTTTGCTCAAAATTACTTACAATAATAAAATATGAAATAAATATTTAAAAAAATTCTTGGCAATGCAAAAGTAAAATAAACCCAAACCTCGCAGGGTCCCTAATGGCTCACAATCTGTTCCCTTCCGTCCCTTACCAAATCCAGCACTGCTCCCTGTCTGGCATGAGGCATTTAGTGGTAAATAACTGGGGAGTCATTTCCCCCACAGGTGGGTTCTGGAGTAACTCCCAGGAGTTGTTTTAAGCGGGTCGCTCTGTCCCACCAGTCTTTTCCTCTGTAAAAGTGCAGGACACGGTGAGAGCAACTTTGTCACTCCCATCCCCAGACCACGACCGATCTCACACCGGGGAAATGTCATGTTCCCTTTTCTGACGTCCTAAGTTTTTCTTTTCATCTTTTCCGCCCCCGCCCCCCATTGTCATGAATGTTATATCTTGTTGTCTGCCAGTAAGATATAAGAATGTGTAATAAATTAAGGATGCTTCTGCATTGCCTCTTACCTGACCAGCATCTGGGGGTCTCAGCTGCCAACACATAGCTCGGGTGTCTGGGCCACTCCTGAATACTCACAGGCTGACCCACTCTCTCCTGATGAAAGGTACCTTCAAACATGCATGTGATTTTCAGTATAAATTGTGAATGCTTATTAAAGCCTCCCTGTAAGAGAATCGCTCAACCGAATAAGATGACTTGGCTGGGACTTTTAAGAAGCTGGATATAAATATCGCTAGAAATTATAGAGCCAGCATAAATACTTCACTCCGAGCTTTGCTGAGCATTTTCAGGATGCTTCTGACCGCATCTGTGAAATCTGAGCTTATACGGGAGGAAGGGCGGGGGGGTGCAGGGAAGGGCAGCTTTAGTCAAACGGCATCCCCCGTCCTCCCAGGGAAACGACAACATGATGGCTAACCCCAAACGTGGCTTCCGTGGTGGTGGAGGAAGGGTTTCACTCTGTCAGTTCTTCTCTAATCAGCCACCCTCGTTTTGATGATGGGTGTCCACACCTCATCTGAAAATCTCCATGTCTGAGCTCAGACACATCTTGTGAAGACTGTCACGTTCAAACAGAACATGCATTATGTTCTCTAGGGACGCTGTGCTTTTGTGGATGATAAGAACCGAAATCAAAGCATTGCCACTCTTTTGTATTTTAATAGAATATCTTTTTCTCCTAAACCTGTGCAAGGTGCTAAAAAACATATCTATATCTAAGATGACGTTGGCATGGAGTGAAGTATTTATTCTATTGCTTTGAAGCTACCCATTGTAGAGAAAGATTAGCGTGCGGTGGCGGCAGTGACTGTTGTACCTGAGACATGTGACATCAGAATGCTGAGGTCCTTCTTTAAGGTCAAGAAACGACTCTCCCCTTACGCACGTTCCTTTTTACTTTGTGCAACACCGAAGTTCATGAAGAGGAAAAAAAAAAAAAACAATCTACCGTTTTCCTTTATGCAGTTTTGCATTTACTGTTTTATTCCCCAGCTTTTAATTTTATAATGAGATCTTGATGCCAGGTTTCATGCAAGCGATGAGCTGTCCTTCATTTATTAGGATCCGCTGTGTCAGTTTCTTTGTTCTGTCACCCTGCTTGCCTGACGGATCAGAAGGTGGGATGGTTCACAGAGGAGTCACTGAGGTATAGGAGGGCTGCGTGAATGCTAACGGTGCGGGTGTGGTGTTTGGTTTAGCATTATTCTCCAAGACTTCCTCCGACATGTCTCCCTGTCAGGACGATCTCCCCCTCTCCCTTGTCCCCTCTTGCAAGACGCCAGCTTCATAAACAGAAGAGCAAATAGGACGCCTGGCTTTAGCCTGATCTTAATTCTATCCTCGTGTTGCCGGCATCGCATCTCTCGCGTGGGATGCAGGGATGCGCTCGGGGTGCTGTCAGTCATTCCAAATGAGAAGCTGTGCTCTGCGCCTGACCTGGCGGCTCAGATCCACCCACGTCCAGCACAACTGGCCAACAGTGGTGGTTTATTCTGGGGCTGGTATAAGAAGCTGCGTCTGACAGCTGTGAGTGTCAGCTAAAGGGCTGAGTCTGTCATGTAATGTGGCCTCAACTCTTGTCTCCTTGCCTAGACTGCTCACTAGAAGCTCAGCCCAAATATGTTAAAGGTGGCAAGCGTTATGGACGAAGGTCCTTGCCTGAGTTTCAAGAATCCGTGGAAGAGTTTGCCGAGATTGAGCCCCTAGAGGAAGAAGCTCGGCCCTCACACAGCCCAGCCGGTGACCGCCACCAGGTAAGGAATGGGACAGGCGTCGCCCTCCCGGGCCAGAGGTGTGGAGACCCCCGCATGCCCCCACGGCGGTGGTGTGGGGACAGGAGAACTGGGGGGGTCATGGCTTCTTTCTCTTGCTAATCTTAGTACTTGCCTTTGGGGTGTATATATATATCGCCAATTTGTCTATCGTTTGAATGTTTCATTTCTGTTTCCGCTTCTGGAGAGCTGACATTTCTGTGCCAGCTTTATGTTTATGTATTTTACAGTTCAGGTACTTTCACGTTTTCTGGGGTCTGCCACTTCCGGCACTTCTTGGGAATATGTCTCTCCTCATGGCACTGCCACTTCTAGTTGTGTAAAAAGCTGCCCCCTGCCCCCCCCGGCGCCCCGAAATCCATAAGCCAGCATCCGTGGCAGGTGTGAGAGGAAGGTGGTGCGCGTTGGCATCTTGAGTGCTGCGCCTTGTCTTTCATGGCAACATAAAGCAGCTTTCAGACTTGGTTCTTGTGGCCTCAGCAGTCGCCACGGCTCTCCTTCGTGGGGGTGTGGCACCCGGGCCTGCCTGGCCCTCCAGCAGCCCGGTTTGCCCGCTTCGCTCGTTTCCCAGCTTTTCCTTGTGCATGTCGCCGTAATCTACCAGCAAAGGAGAAGCAGTAACATTTTCTTTATTCTTTTCTCACGGCTCATTTACCAGCGTGCCATTTATAGAACATGGTGGAGAATGCCGTGCTGAGCAAGCTCTAAATATTTCTTGCAAATCCCAGCTCAGACTGGGGGTGCAGATATTTCAGATATTAACACAAGCTGGGAAAGAGACAAAGTGCCTCAACTTTCTCAAAGTGGTCTGTTGACTGGGGGTTGATGGAGGTGTGTGTGCACACGCGTGTGTTCATTGCTAACACCCATGTTCAGCTCCTTAAAGCCCACAGGAAGCTTGCTCCAGTAAGGTCCCCAGCAGTCAGACATCTAGCATCTTCAGCCTTGCAGAAGGCCCACAAACCCAAAGGTAACTGACAAGAGCACAGGTGCTGCGCAGAAATGAAAGCAGCCATAATACTGCAATAGACACAATACTGTGTCTAGAAGACACAGGACTGGTCTGCTGATCCCGAGAAGTTCCAACATTGTTTTAAAGATAAGGAGTCCCTGGGGGCACCTGGGTGGCTCAGCCGGTTCAACATCTGCCTTCAGCTCAGGTCATGATCTCAAGGTCCTGGCATCGAGCCCCACATGGGGCTCCCTGCTCTGCAGGGGGTCTGCTTCTCCCTCTCCCTCTGCCCCTGCTAGTGCTTTCTCTCTTGCTCACTCTCTCTCTCTCAAATAAATAAATAAAATCTTTACAGGGGGGGGGGAAAAAAGATAAGGACTACTTGCCCTCACACCAGAAGTGAAGGAACAGTGGCAGACATGTGAGCGAGAAGAGAGGAAGAAAAGCAGGCAGAGAAGAAAGATAGAAACCCCCCCAAAACGGTGTAAGAGTGTCGTGGCTGAGAGGTGACAGCTGAAGACAGACAGACCATGAGAAGCAAAGAAGAGACCTTCTTGCCTGGGATGGCACAGCACGGGGCTGGTCCATCTGGAAGCAGAGGCTGCTTCTCTTCTTGGGTTCAGTCAGTTGCAGACCCTTTCTCAGGTCCCTGTGAGGATTTAGATCGGGGCTTTCCCCAGGAAAACGCATGTACTTATGTGCACAAAAATTTTGCATATCCAATTTAAGAGATTCGAGTGATTTTCCTACTTTAGTTATTGCTGTGTCCATAATATTTATCTTGCTGTCAGGAAGGGTCTCCTTTTATCACATAAAGTCTGTTTCATAACCCTGAGTAGTGTGGAATGTATCAGACACTTCTCTGTGGGGAAAAAAATGGTTAAAATATTTCTCAACACTTCAGGGGGTAAGCTTTCATTATGTGGGAAACACTTTTAAGTCTAGTATCTCCTTTCTCCCAAGTACTTTCAGTACCCAGGGCATTATTATTTGTTGCTAAGAAATAAAGTGATTACTTATTTTTTGATAAGATGGTTTCTAGTTACTGCCTGGGGGCTACCCAGAAAGTTCTTGGGCAGAGCTGATTTTGTTGCTGGCAGCTTCTTTCTTATATCCTTGTTTTATCTACCAACTTCCAGTGAGATTTACTATTTAAAAGTGAGACTTTGGGCTCATGTGTAGGTAAAGGTAAGAGTAGAGGCCTGAGTTTGGGCAAAATCCTGCCGCTGTGTCTTAGTAAAAGGGTACGTTGGGAGAACCATTTCATACCTCCCCACCCCGCCTTGTACTGCCACTTCCCTTACTCCTCCAGAACCTCGTAGGTGAGACCTTCTGACACTGTATATAGAAGCTTTAGTGCTCAGTGACCCCTCTCAGTAGAACAGCAAATAGAGGCCCAGAAGGGTTCTTTCTCCCCATGTCTGTTCTCCAGGATGACCCCTACTGACCCGACTTTGTGAGTCTGTTATATCCTGCCCCCAAAAGCCTTACAGGGGCACTGGATCACCCCCTTTTACCCTTTTTAAAATTGCTGAAGGTGGACTCAAGCCGAAGCCCATCCAGATGCTTTCTTGACTAAAAATGAAGTGTTTTGTGAGCTGAATTGAGCCTGTCAGTTCTCAAAGCGATTCATCACTTTAAAACATCAAGAGCGGCACGTGTGACACGTTTGAAGTTCCTCTTGTCAACGAAGGGCCCGTCCAGGCTTCGTGTCGCATCCACGACCGTACGTCACACTCACTGCCTTCATGGATACGTGCAGTCCAGTGACATCATTTCCCCGGGATGTCGGTCTTACGGCACACTGTCGTGTCAGGATAGCATTCCTGTTTCCTGGCCAGTTCCACAGGAGCCTCAGCAATTTAGGGCCACTCGTGGGCCAACAGAACTTCATGCTCTGGGCAGCTCGAGCTTGCACCAGAAGTACCCTTGTCTCTTGGGAGTGCCTGCTAATCTTCCTTATTCTAGAGTGGCCCCCCACTCGGGCACTGTGGGGAGGAGAATGTTCTTAATAACCTGTGGCGTTTATTTATTCTTATAAGCAGTTGAGAATCTGTCAGGAGTGCTTTACTCTTCTGTTGGCTTCTTTTTTTCCCTTTGGGTTGCCTGGGGTCCTTTTGTCTCCTGCCCTTGGCTATTAAAAATTTATTTCTTGGGTGTATTTGTTAACAGTGGTTCATACTTCATCTCCGTGTCACTGGGCAATATTGAAGGAGGGAGCGGGGATGGCTGTCTCCTTCGTGAATAATTCACAAGGAGTCGTCAGATGGGGAGCCGGGGATGGGCCTTCTTGGTTTTGACTGTGGGTTTCCTTCGACTCCGGGTCCTGGCTCAGGGAAAGGTGAGAATCCTAGCTTGCCTTTAGACTGCAGTCTAGTCTCTGCTGCTCTCAGACACGCCCGATTTTCCCTAAAGTGACTTGATGGTTTTTTGGTGAAGATGAAAGGACCTGAACTTGTGGTCAAAAGTTACATGGAGTAGAAGCCCATCTGTTGCTACTCACCAGGAGACCAATTTTTGCTCTAGGATGAATCCGTTATTTTATTTATCTGAGCACGTGGAGAGGGATGGGCAACGGAACGGAATGGTGTCACAAACACCTCTTGAAAGCTGTCCCCGGGGTGGCTTGCTTCCTTCTAGGAACTCCTCCTATAGCGATAAGCGAGCAGACAGTCATTGGAAGGGATAGAACGTAACTCCCCCCACCCCCCTTCCTTCTAGGGTTGTTCCATAATAGGGAAGTTGCTATGGATTGACAGTTCATTTCTCTGCTCCTGGATTAGTGGCTCACAACATTTTTTCTGCATCCTTGTTTGGGAGGCCTTCTCCCATATGTACAACCAGAATTATAGGTAATGCTCCGTAGATGTACTTCTTTGTAACTCCAGCCCTGCCTCCCACCCAAGAAGACATAGACATGCAGACAGATGAGAGTGATGCCATTATAAAGGTTGCTTTCAAGCAACTAAATTTATTTTTAATGTAAGTCCCATGGGAAGCTTCCGGCTTCCTTCGTTACCTGGAATCCCTCTCGTGACCACTCCTGGTCCACCACCGTGATGTGGTGCCTTGGGTAAGAACGCACGTGATTGCTACGTGGTACCTAATGCTCCACCACCTTGGCCTCATCCTCTGAATGGAACATACGGCAGTAAACCTTGTTAGGAGGGGCTTCTGATGTTTCGGTTTGTATATGTTGAACTAATAAAAATTGTACACATTTTAATCCTCTCAGTTCAGCTTTATTCCAACAATTTGATTCTTTCCTGTTTTATTCCAGCGGTTTGATTCTTTCCTGCTGAAACAGAAAATCTCTAACCTAGCTATTAAGCATGCCTCCCCTACCATGTCTGGTTCACAAGGCCCTAAAAAGCCATCACATGGGGAAAGACCTATAGTCCTCCTAAATTTTCAGCACTGAAATGTGTATTTCAGAATTTCATTTGGAAACCCTGAAGCAGAATGTGCTAATTCACAAGCGACAAGTAGTTTCCACCATCAGGCTGATACATGCGTTCACCTTCCAATTTAGTGTGTTTATCTGGCAAATGGATTCTCATGGGAGTCTGACCTCTCATCTCAGGTGGCATTGAAAGGAAAGTGGTTGATTTTTCTTTTTTTTATGGGATCGTTTTCACTCAAGGCAGTTCGGTTGGACATTCGATTCTGAATTAATCCAGCCCAACAAAGGGCCCATTCTTGATTGCAGCATAAGGTGTGATTAATGAGACCGTTTTCCTGGCTGTTTTCTGCTTTACTTGGTTAAGAAACAGAAGTGAGATTTTAGGTTCCAAAGAGTACTTTTTTTCCCCCCTTTTTGTATGCACACCTACAGCGGCTACTGAACTGACCTTGAATTTTAATTTTGTGCTTTCTTCTCAGGATAGGTGGAAGTAGGGAGAAACAAAACTAATGCCCAGTTCTAGTCTGTTCCTCAGACCTGGTGGACAAGGTGGTTCCGTGACTATAATTGGGGCAGGACCACTTTGCTTTCTGCCCTCGTTGAAAACACGGGACACCTTGTTAACTG